AGCTCTGCCCACTTGGGATCCTGGGTCTGGAAACAGTTCTTTTAGGAAAATACTTTAGGGTCTGACTGAATGATCTTGGTTCAGTACTTCTTCCTACTAAACAGATTCAGACCCTGTGTTTTGCAGAAGAATCTGATGGTACTATTTGGTTGGAGGAAAGAGGAAGGAAAAGAAGACAAAAGGCTCAGCATCACAGAATCTCGAATTAATGCTCCATTCAAATCCACTTATAGACACCCATTCCAACCATTAAATTTTGGCTCACTAATTTGATGATGCATCTCAGTCACAAAATGCTACAAACCCTAAAACCCAAAATGGGTTGTTGTGCCCATGTGGTACAGTGCAGGGCTTTGAAGCGGTACTAGCTTAGATCCTGAGAACAGCACAGTTCTACACAGTTTTACCAGTGTCACTGTGCAGCCTCAGTGGTATGTTCTGCTGTAATCATTATAGAGTTTGTGCAAAACTAACACAGCAGCTTTGCTTTGTGTGCAAAGACAGCCTGTACAATGTCAACACCTGCTGTACAGTGTAGATGCGCTCAGTAACAAGAGGGATTGCTCAAATGAAATACCTTTGCATTGAAGTGCCTGATTCCAAGAAGAGTCTCAGCAACATATTAAAGGCTGCAATTTCAAGTGCAGATTCCCATGCAGTGGAATCATAGCAAAAATGAAACTATGAGAGAGGAAAACTTCATTGCTCATTTAATAACAAAATTTCCTGTCAAATATGAGTGAATATATTCTAATAGGAGATTCTGTTTCATGGTAGGTCCTGGCATTCTTACTGGCTTTGTAAACTAGACTTAGTGCTAGTTTTTCTAACATCTGGCAAAAATCTGAAGCTTCTAGTTCATTGACCATTGTATAGCAAGCAAAAGTTAACATCAGGTAAAATATGTAGATATACGCCTCAAAAACTCCGAAGTGAGTAATACCAGTCTCTCTCTTAGTGTCCCAGTCAGCTCTCCTCTGTATTTTGAAGTTGCCATAGTTTGCAGGAATAGGAAACGCTTACTTTGCAAGTGGAGAAAGAAAAATTACTATGGACACGTCATGTGAGCCCATTTTGCAAGTTTACTTCAGCTGGAAAAAAGGTCTCCCTGTTGGGTTACTCTCTCTCCTGGTTAGCTGTTTCAGGGGTTTTTTGATTTCAAACAAATAGACAGACAGCATCAAGAGGAAAGAAATCCCAGTTGGCTGACACAAGATAGGGTCTTTTGTGCATCCTGTTTTGCTTGGCAGAGGGAGTTTTAAATATTTAAGCAACTTTACACAACCATAAACCACTGTAATCTCAGGTCTACAGAATACATTTAGAGCTACAGTTTTCTGGGACCAATTTGAGAACAAAAGTTTACCTTTCTTCAGTCTGTATCATTACCACTGACAGCATCAGTACCCTTCTCCTTTACAGTGTAAATCTACAGCTTTGTTGATATTAATGGCTCTCCCCAGAACACTGTTAACCTGTAGGGAGAATCAGATTCTGGATAGCTACAGTAATAAAACTTGCAAGGCAATGGAGAGTTTAATTACCTCTTCAGATTCCTTCTGCCTTCTAGAATGCAAATCGAATGATTCATTGGCACATGGTATGCCAGGTAAGGTCTGCTGTAAGAGGGCAGACAACAGCACTCTATGGTCAGCCTGGTAACCAGCAACTTGTCCACATGCTAGTTCATATTATTTAAGGGGATTCAGATGTTACAGATTTGTTTTTTGTTAGGTACACAGAGATAAATGATGGGCAGTAAGAAGTGTATGTTTTCTTAATTACACTGTGAATTTTCTTTCTAATGGTATCCTGCCAGTAGATGCCATACAAAGCTGATGACATGTGATCCAAGATGAGGCACAGATGCACTTTTATAGAACAGTGGTACATGTGTAACACTACATATATAGAACACATGCATTTGATTTTGTAAATGCTGTACTGCCAGAGGCAATCACTATTTATTTTAACTTTACAGAGTCGGAGAAGTTCTGTCTATGTTGAAGGATTATGGCATTTCCATTCCCAATGAAACTGTAATTAATGTGCTAGATCCTATATGCAAGTTTGCAAGCACTATTGTATAGGCATTCATACTACTACTGAGACTGCCTTTTCACTCAGCAAAGCTACCCACTGCATTCTCCACCATCCATAAATCTATGTCTTTTCAGTGCAAGTCTAGACAGCAAATCTAGGCATAGAACTGGATTCATTTAGTAGATTCCTCTTGTGCTCTCCCAGCAGATAATTTCGTTTAAGAACATGAGTTAGTCTACTTCAAATTGTTCAAATGTTGTCCCAAAAGAAAACAGGAATATAAACAGGAATATACTGAGAATTGTTGTTTCCTTCCAGTTTGCTTCTTCTCAACAATAAACAAGAGGCATCAAAGGACCCCTCCTGACCAACATCAAAAGCCTAAATTTTTACTAAAGACAACCGAAAATTAAATCAGTTTCCAATTGTGGTCAGTGGGAAAAACTCCTTTTAAAACATTTAATAAGTTTTCTCTACTTTTAAAAAGCCAAACATTTTGCACTATAGCAAAGGCTTTAATTCAGTGCTGCAGTAGTCTTCATTCATCTTAAAAGGAAAAAAAAAAAAAAATAACCACAGCAAAGAAAAAGAAAGAGAAAATCCTTCACAGACCTGAGACTGTGGCCTCTGGTCTCTGCTTTTTTCTGGATTCATTTTCAGATAACGCAAAAAATTATTTCCTGGCTAACAGCAGTCAAGAAGAAAACATAAATAAGTATCAAGTATAGGGCAAGTTAAGAATGTTTCCTATGGTAACCTGCATGTCAGCATAGGACAAATGACCCCCCCAAAAAAAAAAATAAAAGGGGAGAGGGTGAGGGACAGAATTAAGAAAAGTCTGGTCTTTAAATACAGAGTGCCAAAGAACTCTGCGAATTAGATATGAACCCTGCATGTTTCAGTAAGTGCAGTAACTGTCCGTTCTCCAGATAGTAAAACACCTGATAACTGATGCTTGCAGGACTATTTTTAGCAGAAAAAGAAGACCATGGTAGGAGCCAACCAGGAGGATTTTTAGCTAGGAATATTCTTTGCTTGCAGTAATACAGATTTGTTTGCTACTGCATCAGACTCAAAAGGGAGTAGAGGGATTGAGGAAGTACGCCCTATTTCCAGGCATCCACTAGTGGGACAATGTGTTATTCATGGCATTCCTGTCTAGGTTCCTAGACTCCCTAAGGACCCATTAGCTCTCCACACCACCACTGATTTTTCACATGCTCCCAGATATATGGTCCACAGGCCACCAGATCCACCAAAGAGGTAGGTACAAGCGAGGACTCAAATCCCGCTGCAAGGAGCTGCTGAATGGACAACCTCTGCTCTCACCCTGGCCCTTAAGAGGTCTATCCCAAACCCTAAAGGGTTAATAAACAAGTAGGCTGCTAGCACTCTGCATTACTAAAATCTTTGGAACACAGTGTGGGAAGCATGGGAGCTTCCTGTCTTTCTCTTGTCGCCATGGTAGGGCCTGTTGGCCCTGGGGTACTGTGAAACCCCTCAGGTTCCTGGAGGTGGGTCAGTAGCTGGAGCCCACACCTCTATCCTGCACCAGAAACAGAGCAGTGCAGAGGGCTTGTCTCTAAAACACAGGCTCAGACCCTTGGCAACACTCCCTCACTTAAGCCATTGGGCCTGGTAACGGAAGGAGATGGGATTACAGGCAAAATAAACAAACGAGTGTTATAGTTGTATAACAGAAACAATAAAAGACTGAAATTATTAAATCTGAAGTTGAGAGTGAGTGGAACAGCAGACTCAGGCAGGCTGCAGGGAAAGCCAGCATGCTTTCATGGATCTGTAAGAGCCTCCTGTACCCAAACAAGCAAGGGTTACCAGCCCCAGAACCACCTGCAAGGTGTCTGGAAGGTCGCACCTCAGCCAGCAAGCTTGCTAGAACAGAAGGCAAGGTAACATGAAACAACGTAATTTGGGAAAAAATAAACCCACTTCTGCATCTTTTATAAGAATTCGCTATGTTACTGTGTGCAGCAGCAGTCCAGTGCTGCAGTGATTGAGAGTCATTGCCTGGGAATAGCATTGGTAACTAGTAGGACTGTTGATAGAAGGGGTAGTGTCTTTTAGAGACAAAAGAAACCTAACAGTATTTCCCAGCCAGATGTTTAAGAAGCATGTTGTGAGCTTTCAAGACACGTCATCTGATACTAGAAATGACTGTATGACTTCTGGACTTCATGAGGTTTCTGGATGTGAAAGTCAGCCCATGTGGTTCTACCTCTTGAACCCATATGCAGGTAGCAGCTGTATGGCAATGATGTTGACTATGGCATAGCAGTGCTTTCACAGTCAGAGTTGCTGTTACTAGTGTTGAACCAGAAACTGTTCTCTGCTGGTAAGCTTTGAACAATCTGCAGGCCCTTCAGTGTGACCTGTTTCTTTTCAGACCTGCAAGTATTTACAGAAAATGTACCTGACTTGGGAGGAGAGAGTAGTAAACAGTTCCTCTATGACATAAACTGTGAAGAAACTATATTCATAAAGTATTGCAGCTACAGTTCCAAACTGTTGTTGAATAGAGTAATGCTGCTCTTGAAAAGAAGGTAGCCTATAGCTATGCAGCCTTGTGTATTTGCACCTAGTTGTGCAGACAAAGCCAGAAGCTTTCTTCTTTGCTAGCAGCTGTTACTGCAACCTCAGCTTTTGAGCAATAACTGCTATACTGACATCTTCCTATAACACTGAAATCCAAATTTTCATGAAACATTTTCTTTAAGTGATGGTTGCACAAGGGGGTGGAAAAAAGATGAAAAGATAGGTAAACTGAGGTATAAAACCACAAAGTGGCACACCCACAATCCACCATCAAGCACATAGCAAAACTAGAAACAGAATAAATATTTGTGGAATACTACTGTAGCACTCTGCTGGTTAGAGAGTCAGTCTCCTTCGCAAACAGGCATGGTTAGCCTGCAGCTACCGCTTGGTTTTAACTCCTCCTTCTGATAGGTCATGAGGAGGAGTGACTTGGGTTGTGCCAAGACCTTAAATGGGAGACTGGTGTAAATGGCAGATAGCCAGCAGTGGGGAGACATCTGGGATAAGACAAGGCGCTAAGGTGTGTAGTACATAGTTATGAAACTATTCTACCTTTGTTTTCTGTGTAACGTTATATTTTTAAGAACCATGCCTGCCTGAGGAGACAGTAGTTGTTTTGTTCTCTGAATTGCTGTAGCCTGAGGGTGTCAAAGTCATTTAGCACAGAGGGTTGAATTCCATGTTAAATTATGGTTCGTGGGTCACAGTATAAATATACGAGTTGCATACTTTCCAGCACAAGAGTATCCCAGTGATGTCAGTGGAAGTTCAAGAGAGATTGGCATCATTCAGCTGAACAATTTGCTCCCTTTTAAGATCACAGCTGTCAACCTCCATATTTCCCTCTTTCCACCAACTCCTAATTCCAGTTCCTTGAGTGATGCACTTCTGCCTCTTCCCCACTGCTTGCTGAAAACAACCAGTGGTGTTGTTTTCTGCACCAGTGGTGGTTTTTCTACACCTGTGGTGTTTTTTCTGCACCAGTGGTGCAGAAATGTGTTCAGGGAGATTCATCAGCCTGGGAGCATTTCAGGCTGCAGGTGGACATGGGTATGTATCTCCTACCAGCTATGCAGAGTCACACTGGGAAGCTTTTCTCTGCAACCAGCAAGTCTGAAAAATGGAAGCAAGATTTTATATCTTGTGTCCCTGGCCTACAGGCTATTTTTACATCTCCATAATGCAGTATGAACGGAAACAAACCCAGTAGCTGGATGTTTTTCTTCCTCTAGCCCTAGATCTGTCTGAACCAAGGACACATACATGGAAGAAAAATATTTCCACAAGCACCTGTTTCCTTGTAGATTTGTGCCTTATGGTGGCCTCACTTCGCTATGTAAGAAGATTCAGTCTTTCCCAACTCTTTTCTGACTGAAACTTTCCCAAGTCTCTCCCAGGTGGACCCTCTGGTGCAACAGATCATACTCAGCCTCAGCCTTTATCACTCTGGTTGCATATTTCCATAAAATTGTAAGATAATTATTTTGAGTCCTTTCCCCTACTTTGTTTGAAAGTCATTCAATGTATGTAACGGAAGACAGTTGGTTTGTTTGGAAGAGAAACAGGAATGAGAGCAGAAAGGAAGGAAACAAAAAGAAGGATGTAAAAGTCTGTGACATGACTAGTGACTGTGGTGTTCTTAAGACATTGTAAACACTAACGTCAAGGTTGGCTGCTGCTCCCCAGCACAGAGTTGCCTTGCACATAAAAGAATGGCTGACTTTCCACATGGGGATATGTACCTTCATAAATCTCCATCTATTCATGTCCTTAAATCTCAGCTTCAGCCCCCTTGTCTTGTCTGCTCATCCCATCCCCTCCTCCCTTTCCTCATGTGGGATGCGGATGTTGTGAGAAGATGTTGATATTGGAACATCGATTTTATTTTATTTTTTTTTTCTCCCTAACAAATGAGCAGGAGATTGCTTTTAAAGGTATTAAGTGGACACAGGTGGGACTGTAAACTTAAGTGCCTCCACATGGAACATCTGCTGCATGTTCTCCAGTTCCTGTTATCTTTATAGCAGAACTTGATCTTTTAACCCCTTCACAACTGCCCCCCCTCTGTATTTGTGTGGAGAAGATGTGCAATGGCTTTTCTTTGATGTTTGGAGAAGTTACAATGGATCTCTGTGATTTGACTGGCATATGGCATAGTGCTTTGAGCTGCAGTGTGGTTAGCAATTTGCACAGGTGGGTGGGGGAGGAAGACAAGTGTTGTCCAGGTGTTCCCGGTCTTGCTACAGATAAGAGGATTCCAGACGTACCGCAATACATCGAATATCCCCGTTCTCCCTCCTGCACTCCCCCCGCCCCAGGAAATGTCTATCTTGGGGAAAGTGCATACTTGTGGGGATATTCCAAGATAGCTAATAGAATTTTAGCCATTTGGGGTTTAAAAGAAATTATTTCTAAATGCTTGTTCTGGACCCAAAAGAAGTGATTTTTTCCTTTCACCTTCCAAATCCATTCTTCTTTTTCCTTCTTCTTCTAAGCCTTCTTGCTTTCAAATTTAGGTACAAAATAGAAAGCTGCCCCATGTTAGTGTATATTTAACCTCTTCACTGCTGCCTCTTACTCCTCCACAGCATTTGTGCAACAGGGCTGTGTGGCATTTTCCTTTGAAGTACTAGTGAAGTCAGAGTGGATCCTTGTGATGGAGCTGCAAGCTGGCTGCCAGGTGAAGCATTCTCATATCTTTTCTATGTGCTCATAGTGAAATGAAAAGGAAAAATTGGCTGAAGTTCCATGTAGTTCCAAACTGATTTTAATGTAGAATGAGATTGAAAGCTGTAGACTCAGAATGAAGTTTAACACCAGTTGCTGAGGGTACCTAAATCCTAAAACTGTTGATGCCATGTGCACAAGTTCATTCCCAGCTGGAGACAATATGACATAGAATAAGGAAAAGCTGTATTGGTTGAAATGAAAGTTTCTTTTAAAGCTTGTAGTTAGTATGGTATGGGAGGCCACCCAACAAGGCAACCTTGTGTAGACAAGGCCCAATGTCGAGCCAAGGGAACAACCATAAGCAGACCTAGTTCTCGACTATCTGCATGTATGCTAAGTGCATGTAAAACGTTACTGTCCTGATTAGCAGTCTTCTACCCAGTTGTGCAGTTGTTCATACTGAAACAACTGGACAAGGAAGTGAACAATCAGGACCAAACAAAGATTTCCAAACAAACTGAGAAACACCTCAATTGTCTTTGAAAACCCATGTCAGTGCCCCCTGTTCTTCTCTTCCTTTGCCAGGAATTAGGATCGTGTGTTGCTCTGTTTTAGTATACCTGATTTTGTGGGAAGCATATGTCTCGTTCTTGTAGTTTTTAGGAATGGAATTGCTTTCTAAGATAGGGATTGGAAAAGTATTAAGTGCATGCAGATCTTGTAAAATGTCTCTTGGCCTATATGTTCCTGCTGTATGTGACTTGAACAAGAGTAGGTGAAAATTCCTTAAAACAGTAGTGGTTTTGGCATTTTAGCTATGCAAATTTGAATTGATGTGCCAGTTTCCCTCACAATCTGATGATGACCTTTTCCAACAGGGTGGTTTCAACAAAAGCTATGGAATAAAAATCCATGTTTGCATTTTTAAGACTATTGCTACTTTTATGAAAGGTGTTGGGACAGGACCAAGGTCTGATATTAAAACAGTCTACTCCATCCTATCTTCTCACAGCTCCTGAACTGCTGTTACATCTTTTTAACCACATCCTGAGCATCTTGGCATACTTTGCATTGGTGCTTGGGATGGGAAAGAGTCTTTTCCTGAATGCTGTCTTTGCTTTGGATTCATTCCACTTCTGTTTCAGGCTTATTCTCTTGTGCCATTTCCCTTGTTTCTTTTGTCTTTCAGCTTAGTAAAACACCATCTAAGAACACCCCACCCCAGCTGTTTAAGAAAGTGCTGTTTCCTCTTAGAGAAAAATGAACATGCGAACAACTAAATATCCTTAAACCAAGATGACTTATGCAAACTATCACGCCGCTCAGTATGTATTCCATCGCTTCTCTCCATCCTATTGTCCAACTTGTTTACTTAGATCACAGCCCTCTTTTGGATAATAAATCTCTTGCTATGCCCGTGCTTACCCGCAAAAGCATGTCGTGGTACTCTTCATGTCCTCACAATGTCCATGCCTGATGTTTCTTAAGCAGTCCTAGTTTTCACCTGGAGCATGTGATTGGGCTGGGGTCCACTGGGGAGCAAAGACACTTGCCAAGCCCTGCTCCCAGGGTAGGGACTTGGAAACAGTCATGGGCTCTGCAGCCTAGATGTCTCCTCTGCTCCTCTTTGTGCCCAGAACAATGGCATTTTTCTTCAATGTTCTCACTGGCCCCTTGGCAATCTTGTCATTTAAAGAAATAATTCTCTAAGAACATAGGCCTGGCTATCATTCACAGGATAAGCACTTTTCAGGAACCCTTTGGATTTTTAACAGCTACCTCTGTACTTTTAGTTTGGTACTAGGAAAAATAATAATAATTACTTAAACAACTGCCATTTCTGGGGTAATAAATGGGACCATGTTTCCAGAAGTGTATTTAAACATGAAGAAATTATCGTGGCTGTCATGAGAGACAGCATGCCCAGGGAGAGTTAATTCAGCATCATTTTGAGTGATATTCTTGTAATGAAACAAGTCTTAGTGGGAAGTAAAGAAGTATCTCCCTTACTGTAAACCCTGTGCGAGGTAGTAAAGCCCCCTGTTTTCTGTGGTAAATGCCTTAGGTCAAAAAAGGCTTAGTATGAACAGGGAGGCATAATTTTTGTTCTTCTCCTGTCCTGGATCCTGGCACTTTTAGCTGTAACAGAATTTCTAAGCCAACCCATAATTTTTGGATTACTTTAAAACCCATCACAGCACTTTTCTTAAAGCACTTTATTTTGAATAGGAATAGCTTCATGAAAAGGACTCTGATATGGGCTGAAACTAAATCAGTTTCAAGGAAATGCAGCTGGAAGCACGCTAATCTAAAAGCTTCCCAGGCAAAGCAGCACAGGCATCTATTCTGTGGGGTGTCTCCGCCCCCAACTAAAGTGCATCAGGGCTTTCTGAGATCCATTAACCCTTGCACTGCAGCGGTGCTTCACCAGCAATATTAAAAGCAGGAAAACAATAAAGCATGTTTTCTTTCAATACCGTCTCTGTACAACATGCAATTTTCAGCTAGTCAGTGGGTACAGGATGGAGGGGTTTATTTCGGTTTTCCCTGACTTTATGCATTGAACTGTAATACCAGTTCAATTCCTGGGATGCAAATTGGGGTTGTTTCTGTCATAGGCAATTCCTCTCATCCCAGAGATGAGACAGTTCATGTTATGTTCTATAACACTTCTCATTCCCACCTGCTCTGCATGCAGGGTGCTTGTTTGTGCAAGCCTGCAGCCAAGACTCACGTGTGTCAGATCAAGCTGTGACTGAAATTTTAAGGAGTATTTTAGCTGTTTACTAAAGGATTAGAAAAACTGTAAGTGACACAGTGTAAGTTCTAACTGGGAGCAAAGCCAACTAATGGTGTAAGGACTGGGAGAAGGGGAAATTCCAGTAAGTCTAGAGAGTAGGTCGCCCTTCCCTTTACATAGAAACCCCTTTTTTTTAAAAAAAGGAGGCAAAGGAGGTGATCTGTGTATATAAATCTGGGCCTAACCAGCTTATGGAGTGGCAGGGATTTGTTTTGCTTTTCCTATGTGTTTGTCATATCTGATTTTTATACCCAAATTTTCTACTCTCTCTTTTTACCACCTTACACAGTTACAACCTATGTAGCAATCAAGTCTACTGCTCTTCATGGACTTTCAGGATCCAAGCTATTGCGTTTTCTATACAGAAGATAGATCACAGTTTCTTGTTGCTCTCTTGAATGTTAAGGCTTTAAGACTGCAGGATATAATTGCCACAGCTAAGGCAATCCCTGTATCATATGTCTATTCCCACCATAATTTTTCATCCCTACAGCAATGATCATTTAATGGGACAGGTAAGCCTCCACTGCTTCGGTTCATAGCCTTCTATATTAACATTAACCAGTGCTCCTGGAGAGTTACGGTGTTGCTCACTGAGCAGTGTCTGCCAAGAACAATGGTTTGGGGCATGGTGGTGGGACAGGCAGTTGGAGATGCCCAGTAATTCAGCTGCCCCAGTAAAAGCCACCTACAACAAGGACAGTGAGCTTTCAGACACCACCATAGTCCTAGCAGCTAAGACAGTGTTGGCAAAGTACCTTTTATCTGCAGCCCCCTGAAAGTGCACTGCTTTTACCACTAGAAGTCACAGTTTACACTAATGAGCTCACTAAAGTCAATCATTGGAATGATTCAAAACTATTTTAAAGCCACTAAAGTCTGTGTTGCCCTAGGGACAGTAAAAGTAGAGAAAACCATAGCTGACCAGGTGATCTCATGCTCTGTCGGGTGATGCACTTACATTTACCTCCAGAAGTGTTTGCTTTTTATTTGACTTTTAGGCAGCAGGGATAAGCCCATGTTCAGGACTGAACATCTATGTGCTAATGGACTTTTCCACACAGTGTTATAATTAATAGTCATGCCAAAGATGGTAGTGATGAGGACAAGTTTGACTTTAAAAACTGCAGCAGCTACATGAGCTGTTTGGAATCTCCTCTTACATATTTTCACTTACATGTCTACATAGAAAACTATATTTATAAATACAGAAAGAGATTCACTAACATGATATATGCACATAAACAACAGCATACTTCAAACACCAGCATGTCTGATTTTCTATATTATAATGGGGTTTATGTTTTCATTGCATTCTAAAATAGTCTGCCTCTATTAGATTTGCAAATGTTTTTCACAAGTTTACATAGAGTCATGTGGAGTTTAAAAGAAGATGTGTGCATAATTAGTACATTGTGAATGCTCTAGTAAATAAGAACCATGTTAGGCTTGAGAAACAAAAAGAGGAAAAATAAATTTTGTTATTGATACCCATCATGAACTCTTGCTGTTTAGCCAGAGGCAGAAAATTAATTTATTTGATGTATGAATGGTTTTCCTGCACTCTAATGGCAAGGTCACATTCTCTTATCATTGAGAAAATTAAAGTCCAACCTAGAAATGACACTACAGGTACACTGCCATCAGAAGAATAACCCTGCTCTCCTTCCCCAAAAAGCCTTGTATTTGCACTGATGGTTGTGTGGATGTGGGGTCATGTCCCTTGAGAAGCTGCTGGGGAGGGAGCAGAAGCTCGTAAAGAGGGGAGCGTAGCTCAGCCCTGCCAACAGCACCCCATGATTCCATTGATGTTAACCCAGTGTTGAAACCACACCTTAGCTCCCAGCCTCATTGTGGCCATTTTGAAACTTTTTCTTCAGTTCCCCTGTGTCTTAATTGTTTGTGTTTTTACATAAATTTTGGCAGGAAAGTCTGTTCCTCTTCCTTTACCAAAGTTGCTATATTTGCCCTCTGCATTGCTTAGATGTGGCTAGAAGAAGTATCCAAGTATCTCCTGTGAAGAAGCCAGCCTTTGAACTGTGTTTTGCTAAGCTTGGCTCAGCCCAGATGCTCCCTCAAGAGCAAGCACTGTGGCTTTAAGGCTATCGTCCCAGACCCACATCACACCCACATATTTGTCCTCTCTTTGCACAGCCAGTGCCAAGCGGTGACATCTACTATAGTCTCTGGGACACGCTGGTCTCTGCTGCTGAGGAAAAAGGGGGCAAGGGGGAGGGAGACAGCTCGGAGAGAGCACAAATCTCGCTGTGTTCCAGGAGGATGGGTTCCTCGCACCAGTTCTGCGATGCTTTATTTATTGCTGCTCTGCTGATATGAAGGCCATCTCCCTTGTCCCTCGGCGGCCTGCCCAGGCTCAGCCTCCCTGCCAGCTGCCCCATTAATCACACAGGGCTGTTAAGGAGTGCACACAGAGTGGGAGTCCTGCCCACCAGTGGCCTTTAGCTGTCTCCAGTTCAATGAAATTACCTTGTGTGAAGACTTGTTTTATGAGAGATTGGTTTATTTGTAACTAAACTACTTCCTCCGTTATTTGATAAACTCAAATATTTGCTACTGATAGTCAGAGAGTGTCACATTTATTATCCCGTTTCAGGCATTGCTTCACTCCTTTGCATTAGGTTTCTTTAACCCATTTGAGGACAGCAGAAAAAAGGCTGGAAAAGTCTTATTCCTCTTTCTCATGCTTTAAAAAGAATTGGGGTTTATCCTGTAAGGGACGTTACTTGATTAAATTAAATTCACTAAGTTTTGTATGTTTAACGCAATATTCATCAGGGCTGACTCACGGTATTTGTTAGAAAACAAAAATAAAAGTGAGTAATGCTTTTTTCTTCCTTCATATACTGTAATATTTCAAGGCTTAAACAAATGGCAGCATGTGAACATGAAACATCATGGTTTCAAGGATGGGGCGCATATATCATTACAAAGTCCTGTTTGCTGTCTTGCTCATGGTAGCTACGTCACCTGTGATCCATTCCTGCCTCAGTGTGTGGTTTATTAATGATGTCTGAAAGCCATACTGGTTTAGCTTTTTAAAGACATCTGATGTCTTTGGAAATATAAAAATCCCTACAGCTTCAAGATGTAAATAATACTTTTATAGTAACCTGCTTCCACACACTCTCAAATTTTCCCCAGGTTTGATTTTGGTTTGGTATGGTTGGTTTTGTTTGGTTGGGGTTTTTTTGTTGAACTGTGGAGTTCAAAGGGTTATTATTAACTATTTGCTTCTGAGGACTCCAGCAGTAAATCTCAGTCCAAATATAAAAAGGTCCCTGCATATGTTAGGAAGAACAAAAGTGTTTAACTGTATTAGAGTGATTCTTGGGAACCACATTCTAGCTGCTCTGGCTCCGCAGTACTTCTCACAAAACTTTCTTGGGCATTTGATGTTCCAGTAGTGTATATGCTGTAAGCAGTGCTGCGTTGCCTAACCTGAGCATTTCATCTGCTATCTGCCAACACCACAGGTTTCTACATCACTATC